TTTATTTAATATAAAAAATTATAAAGATTAGTTAAAATTTAAATAATTTTTATTAAAAGTAATTATTAATTTTTATATTAAATTACAAATTTTTTTGTATTAGATTATATTAATATAATAAAAAATTTATGTTATAATTAAAAAAGTTATATTATTATCAAAAAAAATATATATTTTATTATATTTAAAATAATAATTTTTTATAAAAAAATTAATTTTAAGTAAGCTTATAACTTTTAAATTTTCAAGATATTTTTATAATATAAATAAAATTTATATCCAATAAAAGCTTATATAGCAAGAAAAATTTATAAGAAATTTTTTTCAAAAAAACTTTCTTAAAATAATAATAAATATTAGTTATTAAAATTAAAAACTTATCTAAAAATGAAATTCTTTAAATATCTTCTCTTATAAATATAATAATATATATAAAAAAACTTTATTAATAAAATTATATTTTTATATTGTCAGAAAAAAGTAATTATATTCTTAAATACTGAATTATATAAAAAATCTAATATAATAGCAATTTATTAAAATTAATAAAATTAGAAAAGAAAAATAAATAATCTTATTCAAGAAAAAAAGAATATTAATTAAATATATTTTTTATTAATAAAGATTAATAAAAATAAATATTATAAGTAATTAAAATATCAAAAATTTGATGTGTTATTTAAATATCAAAAATATATCTATTATATTTTAAAAATAGTCAAAATATTATTTTTATTAAGCAAATTAAAATACTTATTTAAATTTATCAAGCTAATTACTAATATAAATAATAAAAAATATACTTTAATTTAATTATATTTCAATTTGATTAATAGTTAAATATATTAAAATAATATTTTATATAACTAAAGAAGAGCTTAGTAAATAAATAATTATAATTATATTATCTTAATAGAATAAAGAATTAGTATTATTTTAATTTAAAAAAATAAATCAAAATTTAATAATAAATCTTATTTTAATTATAATTAATAATAGATAAAAGTATGTAAAATAAAAAAAAAAGATTTTAATTTTATGTGTAGTTTATTAAAATATAGCTTAAAATAAATATAATATAATTATACTAATAACTCAAGATCTAATTCAATGTAATATTCAAACTATTTTAATTATAATATAAGATATTCATATTAAATAATAAATTAACTCTAAATAACATTATTTTTGATTAACTAATAATATAATATATATAATATCAGAAAAGAATAATATTATAAAAAGATTTAATATTTTAATTTTAGTAAATATAATTTGAATTTCATGTGATCTTTATATTATTCATATAGTATTATTATATTTTGAAAATATTGCTTTTAGAAAAATTAATAAATCTAAAGAATCACAAAAAAAATATTTATTTAATATTTTAAATTTGACATTTAAACTTTATGATAATTATAATACTTCTGATAAAGATTATTTATTGAATATAAAAGTATAAATTCTTTGTGCTTTTAAATATCAAGCTTATCAAATATCAGTAATCTATTCAAACTTGATGGCAATATGAATTATTAACTATCAAATAATATCAATCTCACTAATATATACATATTCAATCTGCTGACTGGTTTATTGATTAACTGAAAATGATTCAGAATTTAACAAAATCTTATTTGGCACAATGAATTTTATTTCATGAATAATTAACAAACATTAAACTTAATCTTTAAGTTTCTGCTTAATCAAATTTGGAGATGAATTTTACCAACTAATTTATGAGTTTTTAACTCATTAAGATCCTATATCATGAGTTTTTAGTATTGATGATACAAATTACTTTTCTACCTGATTACTTTGCTCATGAAAGGTTTGACAAAGTTTATGCTTGGATAACAGATTTGAATGATGCAAAAGAAAATATCTACCAAGTTTTTGAACAAGAACTTGAATTTGGACTTGATAATCTGGATGTTGATGATTATAATAATCTATGTATTGAATTACAAGATGGTATTCAAACAGCACTAGAAGGATTTGTAAAATGGATGCAAGTTTGGATTCATCTACCTTTAAGTATTTGTTGTTTGGGTGATAACAATGGTATTGACTTTGCACGAGCTTATCTTCGGGTTTTTTGTTTTTTGCATCGATATGAATCACAATCAATTTATGAACACTCTATATGAAAAGCCTAGAAGAAGATATCAAAGAAGGAAATTTGGATACATTTGGATTATCTGAGGCTTTAAAAGATGAAGTTTTTTACAATGAATTTTACAATTTTGCAATCTCACCTTCCATCCAACCTCTTTGGTTATATTCTCTTATTTATAATTTCATCAAGTACCGAATTTGGACTATTGTTGTTCACCAGCAACAACTAGAAGGAATGTTTAATCGTTATGACTTGAAAGTACATCCAAATATGGATTTGGAACTTCAAGAAGCAAGGATGATTTTGTCAACATCTAGTTCTAACTCTCTTGATATTACAAGAGAAAAACTTCAAGATATTCGTACAATATTGCAAGATAAAAATAAATTAGAAAAGGAAGCAGAAAATGATGGAATCGGAAATACAAACGTCATTTTCAAATCATTTGTAAGCTATCGAAAACGCTAACCTCTTTTAGTTATTAATAAAAAAATCAAATTCCCGGTGATTGTTGATAATTATTTCCCATTAAAAAATCCTCAATTATGATCTACATTATGTGGATTCTTACTGTTGACTAAAAATCCACTTGATCTAACATATGTTTCACCTTCCAGTATTCATCTGCTTGAATGGAACGAAGAATGAAAGTTTCTTTATATTTAATATGGTGATTCTATTTATATGTACATTGCACCTGAAGATTAATATTTTAATTTTTTGTCTTAGTTTATTATTTTAATAATAAATTTTTTTTCTATGTTTCAAATTCGTAGAATGCTCTTAATGGTCAATAATTGTAGTTTTGAACAGTCCGATTTCAGAGAAGATAGTTCATACGAAATCTATGCGATGAAAAATCCTGTGATTGCCAATTTTACGAAATAAACTCATGATTCCGATATGTTCAATGATCCAAATCTTTATCCCCCTAAAATTACTTCACCCCGAAAATTCATATAAAATTCTTACTTTATGGTATCAACATTTACTTTGCCTCTTCTAAACGTCCAAATTTTCCCAAACGTCTCTCTTTGGCATCTCAGAGAATGTGAATGCAATAACAAATCATGGGCAACTATATCATATATTACCCTTTGATCCAAAGAGATCTTTGCAAAATTCTTATAAAATTCACACTTTTATGTTGCAAGTAGATTCTTTTCATTTTTGATTATTAGTTAACTTATAAATAACAATTGATATTGATAAAAATTAAATTTTTTATTATTATTTCACTCACAATAATAACAAAGCCACGCTTTTTTTGTAAAAATATTCATACTTATACGTTCTATCCCGCGTAGTCTTGTAGCAGATAGGCCTATAGAATAGAAAGCAGTTGGTAAAACAGATTGTATAAAAAAATGGCTTTCACAAGATAGAAAAACAAATCTTATATGGTTTGAAGAAAAAATAAATAAAATTAATTATTTTTAACTCTCACCTGACATTGCTTCAGATTTTATTTTTTTGTGCCTTGACCAAAATTGATAGCTTTAATTCTTTTGTGCTTAATGATTGAAGGTTTTACTGCTGTAGCCATACAAATTTGATGAATCTTGCCTGATTCTGTGTTCCATTTGAAGTCCTTTGAGCATCAATTAATCAATTATTCTTCCATTTTGTTTGGATGTTGAGATAACTCTTATTCCATCCTACTGTTTCGAAGTAAACCTATTTTAGGGTTTGGAATATTATTAGTTTAGAAATTAACAGTTATTTGTTAGCTAATATTATAGTTATATTTTGTTAGTAGGTTTGTTAATTGAATTAAAAATTTACCCCTTAACTTTTTCGCGCCTTCATAATTTGTGCTGTATCTGTCATTTTACTGCATTATTATAACCGCCACCTTTTAAACCTTTTTGCCCTTTGATTGCATAATCTCCGTGTAGATTGGCGCAGGCGACCTTTAGAATCTTAGTGATACCCCACTTCACGTAAATTATTCAGTCTAGCTCTCGCTTCTTTTCAATTTGTAATTCTTTAATCCAACTAACTTATGAATTGCACGTAACAGTGCTATCATTTCTTCTAGTGACAGCGTAACTTCAGATACATAATAACTCAACAAATATTCCTGAAAAATACTCAAGAAACATAGTGATATGTAACTTCTAATTTCTTGCTCGAATTAAAGATGTTGTTAACTTTATATTATTTCAAATAAGTTTTGTGTGAATTCTCATGCATGCGATCATTTTAGAATGTTACAAAAATATGTAAAGGTAATATTATCGCTTTTTGTTCGCTGTAATTATCACATGCAAACATTTCAATAGGACGCTTGTTTCGATTTATAATCTATCAATAGTCATGTATATCATTGTGACTTCATTATTATTATTATTATTAAGTTGGTGTCTTCTCCATCTTTCTCAATAATTTGCTTTGTATTGTGCTAAGGATTTTTCTTGCCAAAAGTGTCTCCGGTAATATTTTGTTCTAACCAGATAGCCGCAGCAATATTCCCCAAGATCCAACAAAGTTGCTTTATAAATTGTACAAAACCTCCGTATTCAAAGTTGGTAAGACTTTCAAAAGGAATCCATCCAAATAATTCATCCCAATTACATTGCATTCTTTTATTACCGCTAGACAAGACAATTCAGTTATAAAAATTCGTTTGTGATGCACATTCACTAAAACGCGTCTATGTGAACATAGATGTTTGAAATGAGCGTTCGAGATCGCTATGCGTAAATTGAGAAGGTCCGTTAAAACCTGACCATCTCATAAGTAACATAAGTATGGGGAAAGAATTTTATTGGTTGCAAGTGATATTATTTTTTAATTAATCAATCAGCCCCGAACGAAGGCATCTGATTGAAAATTAAATTGGTAATGTATATTCTAAGTGTTTTATGAATAAATAAATATTCTCAATAAGCATCTGCGTCGTCATTCACAATTACAGTGACTCATTCGTTAACGTTAGTGCAATAAAAATCAATCTATCATTTTAAAATCTGCATTTTTTTGATCTATTTGGTCGTTTTCGTTTCTTTTACAAGCCTGTATACTCAATGATCAAATGGATCTAGAATTGAAAAATGCCGCTAAAGGTAATTAATTAAACAAGATAACGACAACCATTGTCTCATTTGTTTTACTATCATTTCAAGCAATTCATGTTCATAAACGCATTGTATACAGTGAACTCAAAAATGGAATCGAATACCCATATTGTAGTAAAGGTTATTTGTGACAAAAGAATAGATGCTGAGATGGGTATTAATCCACAATACGCATGATTGTGGTAAATGTTACAATTGTCAAACGATGAGGACTGCTTTGACTGTTGTAAATATCACACGAATTTACAACGATGAATTGTCTAGCGGAGATAAAGATATCGAAAAGAACACAACAAAAGTATTAAAAAAGTTGCTGATGATAATCTGCTTCAAGATAAATTATTCGAATGGCTTCCTTTTGAAAGATTTACAAACGTCGAATATCTACAAAAGGAGGTTTTGGAAAAATTTATAAAGCAGCAGCCAGGTTGGACGGAGCACGTCACTTTTGCGTGTGGCTGTGTTTCTGCTAATATCTCTAATATACATGTACACAGTAAATGTAATTAGCACATCATTCATTTATCTTAGGTAATGATAAATTAGTTTTAGTTATGAGTTGAGTAAATAAAATGCATTAAACAAATACTTTTCATCTACGATGTATACTTGATCAAATATAAAATCACGTTTTCTCGAATACTTTGGATCGATAGGAGTATACGTAAATAATAAATTAATCGATGTATCTGCCACCTAATTGAAGTACATTTTCTTTGGTTTTAATTACATGTATTTGTAAAAATAAAATGGATCAATCTGTATTTTGTGCATATTAACTCTGTCTCCGATTAAACATTTCTGATATCTACTCGAACTTGGTGGAATGGCATAACTAACATTTCATGATCATTAATATATCGAGCTTCTTTATTATTACATGTAATAATTTTAACAAAGCTTTACCTTACAAAAATCATCATCTTTTGCTCGCTCCAAGAAATTTTCCTCGCATGAGATCTTATTCTCAAATCTTTCCCCTGAACACTAGAGTAAGATATTATTATCAAATCGCTAGAAATTTTATTATGAAAGATGCATTTAGAACAAATAAGGATGGCACTATATCTAAATTTTTTGCTTTGAGAATTTTTACTTAGTGATAAAGGTCAATTATAATAGTAAAATTCTAAGCTACCTACGATTTTTCTCTTTTGGATTTTTTTGCGTTTGCAATCGGATTGGTTAAATTTTTATGTTAATTTGATCTTTACGATTGGGGAAAAAATTAGGAAAGTTTATCACGTGCAGCAAACATTTCTTGGGAGTGAGCTGTGTAAGTTTATCTTTTGCGTAAGTCATCATTATTTATTGAAGTAACTGGGTTTTAGTTGTTGTGTAATACATGTAATGAATAAACTTAATCTATTTTTGAAAAATTTGATTTTATCAGCTAAAAGAAACTTTCAATTAAGAAAATATTCATTTTTACCTCATGTATAAACTACTTTGAATTGTGTAATAATTTCAACGCAACTTTCCATTCTCCTCTTCGTTTAAATTTATTTACTTCATGATCCCATTTGGAAATGGGAACGTAACCATCATCTAATAATGATAATGAATCATCATCATCCAATAATAATGAATCATAGCAATATAATGGTCCTTCCAACCAGGTTGCTTTATAAATTGACCCAAAACCTTCTTTTGCAAGATATTCAACATTGGTAAATCTTTAAAAAGGAATCCATTCTTATATTTCATCTTTTCTATTAATTATATTGCATTCTTTTGTTAAACTGTCGATATCTTTATCTCCGCTCAATTCATATTTGAAATAGTCATCATACTTATTTTGACAAAAGGAACATTTACTATAATTATGAGTATTGCGAACTAAATATAATTATTTTGATAATCAGTACATTTATTACAATGATAAGTACATGTAGAACAAATTACTTAAGACATATTGATATATTACCTTATTAAAAATATTATTAAATTATAAAAAACTAAAAACAATTATAAATATAACTAACTTTATTTATTATTCAATGAAAAAATGTCAGAATTATGTCAAAATTTATAAAGATATCCTTTGTAATATAATGAACAACTTTACCTATAATAAAATAATAGGATTACTTAATAGTATTTTTAATAATATAAACTCAATCCTTGTTGTTTTTTTACAATAAATTTATTGGGGAAGTGTAACAATACATATAATTAATAATAATTTTGTAAAATATTTTGAGCAAACTTGATTTACAGATTATAAAGAAGACATGTATAAATTATCAGATAATTTTAGCAATTTTTCATTATTCTATGCACTATATAAAAATTCCGAATCTTTATGACGCCAACTGTAGTAATCAGTTATACCTTTGTTCTTTTAAATTAAATATTGCTTTATATTTTTGCCTTTGTCCTTTGAAATTCTTTATTTTTGATTGCATAAACTCCATGAAGGATCAGCACAGGAGACCTTTAGAATCCCAGTGAATCCAATTTGCATAAATCATTCAGTCTAGCATCCATCCTTTATTACTGTCATATTAGCCTAATTTCGAATTGCGCATAACAGTATGTGACGGTAGTAATCCAAAGCTAATCACACGTGAACTGTCGCTTCGGTAAGAGTATGGTTAATTTAAGGATGAAACTTTAATGTTGACAGCAACAATGCACATGCACATGCACCTCTGCAATGTGAACTGTCACCTCGGGAAGAGTATGGGCAATTTAAGGAAAATTTAATGTTGACAGTAACAATGCACATGCACATGTGCAATATCTTTGATCCTGAAGCTGTAAAAATTTTTGGCTAAATTCACAGCAATTCTGCGAGAATTTCTTAAACATATATTTATTATACTAAAATTCATTTTTGTATACATATAATATTTATTTTCACAAGAATACTAATTCACTTTTTGTAAGTCTCTTTGAAAATTTTTATGGCATAATATTCACTATGTAAATTTCAACTCCAAACATTTTTGTTATCAGGAAGGATTGACCTAATAGAAATGTGCTTCTTGATAAGAACTATATATGACCGAAAATAGGAAATCCCCAATTTTTCAAAAAAAATGACAAGTATCATAAATATGAAACATGATTTTCCGAGTTGATAAAAATTTGCGTATTTCTATTTTATTAACTTCGGGACGCTATTATCTAACTCCAATCGAATGTTCCTTCAAAGCATTTGATCACGAGATTTATCGTTGTGTGAGATACCAAAATAAGAAACGCCGGACGATCACCATTCCAAATTCATATACCGCTGGAGTAACCAAATTTAATATTAGTAAAAGTAATAATTGAATTATTTTAATTTGGTAACTTCGGGATCTAATAACTAAACGAATCTGATACTAATTTAGCTGAAAACCGATATATAGATGGTTCTCATCAAGAAGCACGTTTTTTATTAGGTCAATCCTTCCTGATACATGTAATTAAAAAGGTTCACTTAATTTTTTTTAGACATTCTCTAGATTATTATTAGCTTAAAGCGAGTATAAGAACCAGATACATTTAATCAATGTTAGAAACACTAGATTTTTTTTCGTAAACTTTTCGCTTTTCGTTTCTTTTGCGAGTCACTGTAAATGCATGTAAAAAGAATTAGAATCACGGATCAATGATACACATGAAATTTATTAAAGCCACGTAGGTAGAATTCATAACGCCATGTATCACTGTTGGCGGAATTATTGAAATATTGGATCCCGCGTCTTTTGAATAAAAGTGCAAAAGCACAAAATTGTTCTTTGTTTCCATGTCAAACTCCTTTCGTGCATTCTGAATGAGGCGATTGCATATTTTTGTAAAGTGATAGATGATGTTTTATTGAATTTTTCGAATTCTATTTATTTGTGAATGATACAGCAAAGAAAATTTATATTGAATTCCAAACTGCATTGTTTCATTCGGCATTTCGTTTGTCGGGCTTATCACAGTCATGGGTGCTTATTCACGATAGGATCGTCGCTATCTAAAATTTCACCACAATCAAATCGCAATAGGGTATTCCGCAAATGAAAGAGTTTTCATAAAAGCACTTTGCACGCGACCCGACCTCCAGTAATGAAAGAATTTTCCATAAAAGCACTTTAATTTACTGTGATTAAGCACGCGACCTGACCTTATCGTAGTCATGCACGATAGAATCGTCGCTATCTAAAATTTCACCTCAATCAAATCGCGATAGGATACGCCGGTAATGAAAGAGTTTTCACAAAAAAAACCTAACTTACGTGATTAAGCACGCGACCTTATCGTAATCACAAGTGTTTATTCACGAAGATTTCTTATTTACGGAAGAATCTGCACCATTTTTTTCACACATTTTACGATGAATATCAATTTTTGCTGAGGATTTTCTAATATTAATACAGGAGGTTACGACGACGAAAAACGTTTCAATACCACTGTCACACACACCGTAACTGCAATATCAAATATATTAGAAAATTTCCGTCATTGTTTCCACCCTGAAAATCTTCGTGAAGATGGTTGAAACGATAAAATTGCCAACGACAGATAATGAGTGCATCCAAACTGAGAAAGTCGACAATAACAACGAAGAAAATGAGTGTAGGAAAAGTAAGGATGTAGATATCGAGAAAGTCGACAGTAACAACGAAGAAAATGAGCGTAGGAAAAGTAAGGATGAAGATACCGAGAAAACAGAAGTAGACGACGAAGAGACTTCACCAATACCAATGGTGGCGGCGGTAAAGATTCAGTTTTCTCTTGTGAATTGAATGGGCTACATGCAATAAGATACATGTACATGTAATTTTACTACGTAGGCGGTGAGCACATATGATGATCCAAAGTTATCTTGTCTCACATTTAGGTTCTGGGTATTGAGTACGGTAATTTTCGTGATTTTTTCATACTGCATGTATTTTATCGAATTCAACCAATTAATGATTATAATAGTTCTTCACAGCTCTCGGCGCAGCATTATCAGAATTCTACTACTTCCGTCCAACCAATTCCGTATTCTCGTTATTTTTTGTGCTATTCATGTCATATGTGCTTGGGCGATGGATGGCAAGAATATTGCCTAACAAAAACTATAGCATTGGGGGGTGGCAATTTAACCTTAATCCAGGTTGGTTTGTTTTTCATATTCACATTTCATTAAACTTAAACTAACGTACAAATAAAACAAAAAAGGTCCATTCAACGTAAAAGAACATGTTTGCATTTACGTGGCGACTAATGCTGGTGGTATAACTGCTTATGCGATGGTAATTACCCAATCACTATATAACATTTTTCTATATTGTTTTTTGAGCATTCCAAATAATTTGATTCCATTAATACAGGATATTATCGCGATCCAAGAATTGTTCTATAATCAGCATGTTGGGTTCTTTGTCGGCATGTTGTTACTTATCAGTACGCAGATGCTTGGATACGGACTCGCGGGATTTCTGCGCAAATGTAATTGCGAAATTCTTTCATTCACTGTATTTTCTAATTATGTCAAAAAGATTTATTAACAAGTCAAATAACAAAACGAAAAGACCTCGTACGCCCCGCGAACATGATTTGGCCTTCAAATCTAGTATTTACATCAATGTTCAACACATTACATGGCAACGTAGGAGAAACCCGCATCAAATTACGGCTCTTTATGATTGTGTTTTCGTGTGTTTTCGTATGGCAGTTTGTCCCTCAGTATATGTTCACCTGGCTGACGAGCATGGCGTTACTGTGTTTGGCTGCGCCAGCTAATGCGACGCTTAAAAACTTGGGAAGTGGGTATCATGGTGTTGGCATTCTGAATTTTTCGTTGGATTGGAATACTGTCGGGCAATGGGGACCATTGTTTACTCCATGGTAATTTTTGATGCGTTTTAGTAAAGTTATTTGCGTTTGCGTCGTGCTAATCATTATTTTTTATAGGTTTGCATCTGTCAATTTCTATGTTGGTGTAGTTCTAAGCGCATGGATTATTACACCTCTATTATACTATTATAATGTCCTGTAAGTCATTGATTAAAGTTTTTTTTTTTGGTTCTTTTTAATCCATCTAACCTGCTTTCAACTTTCTGTATAAAGGGAGGCTAAGAATTTCCCTTTCAATTCGCCACACTCTTTCGATAAAAATGGGGACAGGTAAGTCCTATATATGCAATCACAGATTTTATTGTTATCCGATCTTTCACAAAAATCTTATCTCAATAATCTTCTCAAAAATAAAGATACAATCAAACAGCCATAATAGATCAACAAACGGGTTCATTGAACATAACAGCATACGAGGAAGTAGGACCAATCTATCTGTCTGCATCATTTGCCAATACTTATTTTTGGTCTTTTGTGGGGTTCACAGCGACAGTGAGTCATGTGGCTTTGTTCTACGGTGAGGAAATATGGACGCAGTTTAAAGCTAGTAGGTCGGAAGAGAAAGAAGATATACATACAAAGATGATGAAAGTTTATCCAGGTATAACATTCTTTCTTGGTTTATTTTGTTGAACTAGATGTTTTTGATGCTCTTTTTTGTCGTTGTGTGAAGTGAAAATGGAATTTTGTTTACCCAGAGATCCCCAATTTGTGGTACGGTATAATATTCGTCTCTATGCTTATTATTTCAATCATTCTTGGATATGTCAATGGTGCGCATTTACCTTGGTGGGCATCGTTGATGAGTGTTGGATTGGCTTGTATCATGGTGTTGCCTATTGGTTAGTACAACTGCATTTATTCGGTTTTTCATTTAGATATGAATCTCATACGCGTATTGTTTATTTAATAGGTGTAATTCAAGCCATTTCAAACAACCAAATAGGACTAAACGTTATTTCAGAAATGATATGCGGGTATTTAGATAAGATATACATACTTGTTAATTTTTATTTTGTACCAAATTTAACTCACGAAAAACTACATGAATAATAAAAAAGATACATGCTTCCCGGCCGACCAATCGCAAACGTATATTTTAAAACCTACGGGTATATGGCAATGTACCAGTGTCTTTCGCTTGTATCGGATCTAAAACTTGGTGAGTCATATTTGTTTATTAACTGTAGTCCAATTAAAACCTTTTTCTAATCATTTTCATACATATATAGGCCATTACATGAAAATCCCACCAAAATCTATGTTTGTCTCACAATTATGGGGAACGGGCGTGGGCTGTTTAGTTAATTACTGGGTCATGAGAATGATTATTGCAGCGAAAAGACCTTATTTGGATGGGACTTTAGACGATCCGACTGGTCAGGTATAATGTGAATTTGAATTTGCACATGTTGATAGAGTAGAGTTTGTAATCACTGAAATTGAATTTTTATTTTATTGGGACAAAATAAGTGGGCTGGTTACAATTCGCAAGTATTCAACACTGCATCAATTGTGTGGGGATTAATTGGACCAGCTCATACATTCGGTAAACCAATCTTAAAATAAAATCACGATATTGCTAATCATTATAAATCAAATACTAATTTCTAATTTCCTAAAAAAAGGAACCGAATCCATCTACCATCCACTCCTTTGGGGTTTCCTAATCGGCATATTCGCCCCAATCCCATTCTATCTACTCCACCGAAAATATCCAAAGGCTCAATTCAACCTTATCAACATTCCCGTAATCTCCGTGGGTATGACCATTCTCCCGACATATTATACGAATTTCATCGTAATGGGATTTATTGCCTCTTTTTTGAGCCAATATTATGGGATACGGTACCGGTATAAATGGTTTAAAAAGTATGTATTTGTTTAGTTTTGTCTGTTTGTTCTGGATCGATTAGAGGGTAAAAGTGTACATTAACCTTAAATTTTTCTAAGGTATAACTATATTCTTTCGGCTGCGTTGGATAGCGCGTCGCAGATTGTCACTATGATCATTTTCTTTTGCTTGAATGGAATTGTTCAGGTATTTACTTCTTTTTTCTTTCCAAGAAAACCTTATCGTGCTAAATCACTATCATTAATAATGTAGGCTCCCTTTCCGGAATGGTGGGGCAACAACGGCGAATCAGAAGGCGAGCGATGTTTTGGATCCGAATAAATAAATTGCTTTGTCTCGTGCTTCTGATCGGTTTTGTGATTGCTTTTCTAATTATAAGTTTAAAAGAATAATTTAATATAATATTTCCTATAGATAATTAATAGTAATGATTTTTTTTATTCAAGAAGAATAAATGAATAATTTAATATAATATTTCCTATAGATAATTAATGGTAATGAATTTTTTTTATTCAAGAATAAATATTTGAATATTAACAATCTAGTAGAGGTTTATAAAGATGCTCTTTAGGTTGAAATAACAACAGCAACAATTCTCATAAAAAATTTGTAGTCTTGAAATTAAAAGTTACATATAATTTATTTTTATAGAAAAACAACTCCCTCGACAGGCAACAAAAATTACGAGGAAAAACGAAATTTTTAATCTCATAATCAAACTTAGAGAGATGCAAACAAATATAACTGTTCTTGATCAGTGTTGGAAATCTAATGTTTTATATTTAGAACATTTAAAATTGTGTTTTCTATTAGAAAGTATTGAGAACATGAAATTTGAATTTATATTATCCCTTGAATTTTTTCGATTTTAATTAAAAACTCTTGTAGAAAACAAAATTTTTACATATTTACATATTGATTTATTAATGACAATTTATATTGTTTGAATTCATGATCAAGTCAATAAAAATAAGTTTATTATAAATCTTAAAAAACTTTTTAATATCTAAACCAAGTTTAGTTACGTGTGCTGAAAATTCACACATAAACAATAAAGTCAAACCTCGTTAAGCCGAAGTGGTCGATTAATAAAAAGTTTTGAAAATTCAAAGATTTAATGATTTCGGTACTAACTTCAATTTTTCGAGGTTTTAATTAGCTTTGTTCAAGGAGGTTTGATTATCGCCATAAAAATCTGAACAAACAATCTATAAGTTGCAACTCTTCCATAAACAGTAACAAATAAAATTCACGAATACGTAAATGAAAGTTAGCATGATTCCTAATTTCGATTCCAGATACAAATAAGCTTACTTCAAAAGAATAAAAGCGGATTCCAATCAAATAATCAAATGAATTGCATCAACTTTTATGACAAAAGAAATAAAACCTTCGAGTCTGTTCAGCACAAAAGAAATGAAGCTATTAATTTTGTTTTTCTGACCTTCGAGAACTATCCTATACACTGACTCATAAAAGAAATGAAAAGTGAAAAGTTTGACGAAAAAGATTATATATCTCTAACCTCGATTAAACATATCCGTTTTTTATATTCATTTTAAAGCTAACATCTAAAAAAAATATTTGTATTGACATTCTAAGAAATTAAATGATCTATATGAATATTTTAATTAGTGAAAATTAACTTCAAATAATTTTGTCATCAGAAGGTATTGAAGAGAATTGATCTAATAAAATGAGCTTTCTTACTAAGAACTATCTACATATCATTTCAGCTAAATTGATATCAAAATTTGTTTAGTTATTAGATTCTAAAGTACTAACAAAGAAATATTTTTACTAATATTGCTGTCACAACATAAAAATTTGTAATCTCAAAAATAACTCACAACATCATAACTATAACAAATCAGTACAGAAAACTTTGAATCTGGTGGTATATAGTTTAAAGAAAAAAAGTCATTTTAAAAATATAAATATCTATATGCAGTAAATCAAATTAAATAATTTTAATATCATTAAAAAAATTCAGTCAAAATATATCTAATAATATCAAAATTATTTGCTAGATGCAAATATCAAATCTCAAAAACAATAACCAAAATTAAATAAAATTTCTTTGTAATTCTGTAAAAAAAGTTATCTTTACCAAAGGTTTAGTTAAAGATTTTCTAATAATATTGCTTGTTGCAAAAACATTTACATTTAAAATTTATAACAAAAATTTTTACAAATAGAAAATTTCTGTATTGATTTATGAAAAAAATTGATTATAAAAAAATTTTATCAACAAACTTTAAATACAAATATTATATCTAGTAAATAAAATTATAAATTTTGACTAGATCTTTTTAATAATATCAAAATTATTTATTAGTTTATTGCATGTGAAAATATTTATCAAAATAATTTTCTTCAAATATAATTTTCTATATTTAATAAATTAAGTTAATAATTTTAATATTCTTATTTTATAGCTCTTGAATAATAAATTTACTTGTCAACTTTTTATATTTTTAAAATATTATTATTATATTTATTTATTAATTATATATATTGATTATTATTCACTAATAAATAAAAACTTGTTAATTTATTAAAAATTTGTATAATTTTGACATTTTATTAAATTAGAGTTAGGATTAAAATTAAATTTTTATTAATTAAAGTTTTATTCTAATAATAAAAAGTTTTAAATTCAAAATTATATACAAAAACTTATTTTAAATCTGTATTTTAAATAAAATTTTTCGTAAATTTTATTATTAAATAATAGTTGAGATTCTATTAAATTTGAAATATTATATAATAAAAAAGCTTTTACTTAATAGAATTTAATAATATAATAAAAATTATTAAATTACAAACAATTTATCTCTCTTACAGATAAAGAAATTCTTAAATATATCTTAATTAGATCTTTCTAATATAAAGTTTAATTATTATATATAGTGATATTAACATTTTTTAAAATAATTTTTTTTATAGTACAGGTTTGAAGCTTATTGTAATTTTACTAGTTTTTAATTTTTACTATAATTATTAAAAATAGTTATTTTTAATATTTTATATTATCTAAATTAATCAATATTTTTCTTAGTTTTTAAATTTTAATAATCAATTTTACTAATTTAATTTATATACTTTTTATATATATATATTATACTTTTCACTTTATATCAGAATTCTTTACTTTATATTAGATTTTTCTATTTTTACATTATATTTTTCAAAATTTAAAAACTAATAAAGTTAGTTTAATAAAAATTTGATTTTAACTTAGAAAATTTTCTATTTAAGTTAAAATTAAAAAAAATAATCAAGAACATTAAAAAAAATAAAATCATCAAACTTATTTTAATTAATATTTTTTTATTAAAATTTATTTAAAATTTTTAGCTCTTAAATATTATATAAGCCATTCCTTTACATCTACTATAGCTATAAAATATAAATTTCGAAAATTGGTTTTATTAAAATTAAATTTACAAATAAAATGTAAAATATTCTATATAAACATTTTTATTTTACTAATATTATATTTCGAAATAATGATAATATTAGTGAACACAAAAACTATTTATTCATAAAATTAAAGTCTTTATATAGTGAGAAATTCCAGATTTTACTACCTAATTCTCTATTCTTTCAATCTTATTTTTAGGCAACTAAAATCTAAATAAAAACTAAGAACAAAATAAGCATAAATACAGTACTTATAAAAATTTGATTCATTTTTTGTTATTTCTTGAAATTGGTGATTTTGCTTTTCGAGATGAGTTTGAGCCTATTCTCATAATTGTTTACTGGTGCATTGTTTCATATCGCAAAGACGGCAAAAAATAAGTAAAAAAGTAAATTATTTAGCTCACAAAAAGATCTGTTGTACTATACCTTTTTATAGTATTCCGCATAAGAAAATACATGTACATGTATAACTTGTCATAACTGTCATAACGAAGTTTATATGTAATAAGGTTCTAACGATTATTTTATTTCCCGATAAAACGATATCGATGTGACTCGATTAGGTTAGTTGAGTAAACTAACGCAAATCACACAATGATATTGCCGATTATATGCTAAGAAAACTATCATCGTAATTAGCTTAAAGTTTAATTAATCGGGTCAGTGACGTTTTGTGATAGTGATAGTTGAAAAGAGAAAAGTTAAAATTAAGGCATTATGTCTATTTTATTAATAAAACAAATTTGACATTTGACACAATAATTGTGAGATATTTAAATTTACATCTTTTCTACAAATTTTAAATCTCGCAGTCGAATCTAAACAATCCTTCTAGAGCTATTGCTAGGATAAAATCTTATATGTTATATATATACTTTACTTTTTTGAACCCATAATAATCCAATATAAACTTAGGATTAAAAGTCGAGTTAAACAATGACAATTTAGTTATAAAAGGAAAATGTTACTTTTGTTACCATTAGAAAAAGCGCCAATTCATGCATAAGCGATGAACACAATATATAATTGGAATAATTTCCGAGCATTAAGGTTTGGCAAGACTTAACTTTGAACCAAATTTAGTCATTTTATAGAATCCCATTCGTCACTTATGAAGCAGTAACGTTACTATTTAAAACAGGCATGTTAGGCTGAACTCCCTTTGTTTACGAACGATAACGGGAATTCAGAACCTTATTGTGACAAACACAAGATTTGTCAGTAAACTTTTCCAATTATATTACAGTATAAAACTCTCCGAGATTCACGATCGGATTTATAAAATTAGCCCTTACGTATCTATGACACTAAATGTACAAAAAAATCATCATAATGCTATTTTTAAAAATGGAAAATTGTTTCACCATTCTCGGAAATCGATGCTTATACATGTGGAACGTGGAATGAGTTCGAATACAGTACTTAAAAGTTGAATAACACAATTATATAATTTCCGACACGTCATAGGCATCAATATGCATTAAATAAGCAAAAAAAAAAGAAAAATTCTTTTGGCCTTAAATGCAAATACTGCTACAGATATTCGCAAAAAAACATATAAACTTTATTTTTAGATACAGTATTTACTGCAAAATGTCTGCAGTTTCTATCACAAGGAAGCCCACTGGGAATGATACAGAATGGGTCATTTACAGAGATATTTCAATGTCACCCTATGACATTGCTTGGGTAGCAATGATTCCAGTGCCACTCTATAAAGAAACGAAGTTATCAAAAGATTTTAAACTTGCTTTCCCTGAATGTTTTGCTTGGCTATTAAACTCTCAGAACGAGAGTGGCAGTTGGTCACGTACCGGAGCTTGCAGCATTGCTCCCGATCTTTCGAGTCTATGGAGTTTAGGCGTATTTAAAGATCATGCTGGCACATATTTCGAAGAAAGATTACGAGAAATAGGTTTTACTTTAGTAAGTCTTAATTAATAATGTATATTTGATTGTGATTGAACGTTAATTAATTATTGTTGCGTTCTTCTGGTCAGGAACATTTTAATAATATATTTGAAAAAGGAACCTGTTTCATGCGATATGCGTTAAACGAATGGGATATTGACGATGATGATGCTAATATGGCAGGATTCGAAATTGTGGCCCCATTTCTTATATCACAATTGGAGAAACTAGACTCTCCGATCTTCCTCGATTTCCCTAATAAGAAGCGGCTCCTAAAAGAAAATAAGCGGAAAATAAGTCAAATTCCAATCGAAGCGATGTCTAAACTAGCATCAATACATCAACCACTTGAAGCATTTATTGGAGTTATCAACCTTTCATGTATTCAAAATTCCAGATTTCAAGCGATAAATGGAAGTTATGGTTCGTCAGCAATAACAGCGGCAGTATTAATAGATGCGCCAAAATGGGATGATAAAGCGTACGAATTCTTACAAAAAATTATTTCAAGATGTTTCTAATATGTGGATACGTTGATGAAATGACTATTTTAAATATTATTTGTGAACCGAACCAATTTAGAACTTCCACTCGTAAAATCAATGTCCAATAACTTTCGATGCCTTTATTTTGCTCTTATCTAAAATTATCAAACAAAAATAATTAGTGAAAAATCTATAAATTTATATAATTTATAATGAATCTGATGAATATGTTACTCGGTGAATATGAATATTCATGTATTATGACTTATACTATTAATATAATCTTTGGTATTTTCAGTTAAATATTTCTCTAGCATTTTCCTTGTTGAATATATGAAAGAATTACTTATGCAAGAAAAGCCATTGCGATGGATTGCCGATGTGGAAACAACTGCGGTATCAAATTATCTAATTACAAGATTTGACGCTAATTATCCAATTTATATTAAATGTAAAATAATTTTAGAAACATATTGGAATGGAAAATATTTTCCTCGTGTGAGTCCGTTTTCGGTTAGTTCTAATGTAATGTTACTCTATGCATTGTGCACATGAAAATAATCGTTAATCATCGAGCAAGTAAAAATGCTCGATATTATCATACTTTATGTTCAAAACAAAATGAGAATCAAGTTCATCTTGATAAATGGAATGTGAGTCCATGGATCAATTCAATTTTTGCTCCGTCTTCATAATTATCCAGACATTTACAATTGACCGAAATGCAAACAAAACAATGGTCTGACGCAAATCGATCAACCAGGCACTATCAAGTTACGTGATGAGATTATTACGCGTTGCAGGTGAAAATTGGCGAAATGATAGCCAAATTATTGATGCAATCGAAAAGGTCGTGCTTATTTATTGAAATATTTCGACGAAGCGATCATTTATGCTAGATACTTCTACAAGAAACAGCCATTTTTATAGGTAAACAAAAAACTTTATACTATACCAAGAATAAGCAAAATTTCAATAATAGTGAACACTCTGGGATAATTTTAAAATTTACAAAGTAATCTTCAAATTAGAAAATACTGGTGCAGACTGATGGTGCCTTATGGTTAGGTCAAAAAGACATATCGTCACGTCAAAAGTATCGTAACGACGTACTGTATGTCGTAACAACAACATATGTCATTGATTAATTAAAAAACTTCTTTTTAATAAATACATGAATCAAATAAACAAATTGAGAGAAAGTTTTGCGAGATGTCTTTGACTAGCGAAATTAATCTATATGATGTTGATAGCACTTCTAAATCATAAGAATCTAATTCATGTAATTGTGTTAATTGTATCGATGTTGATATTAACTGCGATCAGCTACAGAGAAAAGAAAAGGTGTACCGTACTTCGATGAATATGGAAATATATATTATTAAAGATACAAAGTAAGCCCAGGTGCAGACTTATGGTGCGGTATGGTTACGTCAAAATGCCACAACTAATGTATGCCATAACAACCGATACAGTATATGTCATATCAACGACGTATTGCTGAACATAATGGATATGACTTTGATTTCAAGAATGATTAGTTTAGAGGGACGTAACTTTTGATTTAGAGAATGTTAATTAAAAAAGTTTAATAAATAAATTGAGTGAACCAAAATATTTTTTAAAATAAACGAAATTAAAATTTAATGAATCAAGACAAAAAGATGCCTTTGATTGACGAAATTAATCCATATAATAATATCGATGGCACTTCTACACCATTGGAATCTAATTCATGTAATTGTGTTAATTGTATTGATGACGATAACTGTGATCGGTCACAGAAAGAAAGAAAAGGTGGTTCCAACTTCAGACGAAGTATGGAAACATGTTATCAAAGGTATAAAGTAAATCCAGGACATTACAAGGCCAAACGTTTTCATTGTAAGAAATTCTGGCCGAGGGGTAAACCATGTATTATGAGAGCACATCTTGGAATTCATTGCCCAAATGTGCCTGAAGAAATCTGAAAATATTGGCGTAACAAACTTGTAGAAAATAATATTACTTACACAAGAAATTCTCAACTACCTACGCAAATTAATAATCATTACGATGAGCTTCTTTTAAAGACCTGGATAGTAACCGATATTCCATTTGAAGTAATTGAAACTCCGTTTATTAAGAATCTATTTAAAACTCTCGTTCCTGCTTATGTGTTGTCATCTCGTACAACACTATCGGGATGAAGAAGTTGCACGCGTGCAGAATGCTATCAATAATGAGCTGAAAAATGTTGATATTTTTATTATATTTATTGCAGTTGTTAAAGTAATACATATATAAACTGGTTAACGTTTAAACAATTATATTAACTTTTTTATGTAAATTTTTTTAACTAATATAGATCTTGACGGATGAACTTCAAAACGCGAAGAATCTATATATAATTATATCGTAGCAACCATGGAGCGAAAAGAATATCTAATTTCATTAAGAGATTATTCTTCAGAATCACATACCAGTAATTTTCTTGTCTCAGAAATTTCGGATATTATCGAATAACTTAGATCTAAAAATTCGCAGATTCAGCTGCAAACTATCAGGTTGCAAGAGAAAAACACAAAAAAAATATACACATATTTTAAATCTTCAATGCATTGCCCCTGCCATTAACTTGATTGTCATAAATTTGACAAAACTCAATGAAATAAAGATATTTATTCTTATTGTTGAAAAATTATAAAATTCTTCAATAAATCTCAACAAAATCTAGCATTATTACGGCAAGGACTAAAAAACATGAAAATAAAATCTGAAGGCTTAAAACATGATGTCAAGTTCGTTGGGGATATTGTTCGATACCACAAATTTTATATTAATTACCCAACCTGTATTTGATTGGGCATTGTCACAGGACGTAAGTGGATTTAATGAATTTTTGAATCTGTGACTATGAGTGGGAGAGCGTGTGATTAGATTAATTATGCCTGTTGGTCTAAATCCTGTGCCAATATCTACGGATATCGTTTAATGTGTGCGTTCCAAGGGAGAGAGTGTAAGTAATTAGAAGGAGGAAAGGGAAATAATTACTCTTGTTATACTAATTGTAACCGGCGTTTTTCTAGATAAACTCTTAATCAATCAATGCTGCATTTCACCTTTTCTGGACCAAAGGACCTAACCAATAAGTTGTCTTTTCTGACATAAAGAATCTAATCAATTCATCATCTTTTCTGGTGGAAAGAACCTAACCAATTTGTCGTCTTTTCTGGTAGAAAGAACCTAACCAACACAATTAGAATTATGATTCCTTTTGAAAGATTTTACAAGTATTTTTACTTGGAACAATAATTGTATGCAAATTTATTTTTCCTTGAAGATCCAAGTGCCATTCTTTATATACATTTTTTTAATTTTTTCTATTAATTAAAATACTACTTTAAATCTGTCTATAATATATAATTCTTATTACATTGAGAATGAGTATCATAATAAAGTAATAAATATAACAAAGAAAAGTTTGTGCTGAAAGTTATACACTATTTTACAGAATGAATGTTGCTGAAAAATATACTATAATACTATACTGGAAAATCATGCTAAAAAATAGAGAGCATAATATAATCTATTATGCTAAATAATATATACTGAAAAATACTAAAATTAGAAAGTATGACATAATCTATTATGTTGAGCATAATATAATCTATTATCCCAATAAATATATACTGAAAACTACTAAAAATAAAAAGTATATTGTGATCTATTATATTAATAAATATATATTAAAAAATACAAGCAGAAAAATATTTAGTTTTTTAATTTAACCAGATAATTCTTTCATAAATTCAGGAATTAGAAATTTTAATAAAATTATAATAATAATATATTATTTTTATATTTATAATTTGTATATATATAATATATATATACTAATATAAATATTAATATAGATTTTTATATAAAATATTTCAATATGATTATAGATATAAAACTTTTTAATTTATTATATAATAAGAACTTTTTTATTACTTATCAATAAATTTAATTTATAAAAGTCTATATAAATATCTTAAAAGTAGTTTTATATCTTTAGCTAACTATTATATATATAATTAAGTTAACTATAGTAATTTATCTAATTTCTAAATTAACTTTACAATTATTTAAATATTTAATTATATTATATAAAATTTCAATATTTATATTATCTTTTATATAATTACTTTTATCTATTTTATTATATATAAGTATTTAATAAATATAAGAATAAAATATTTAATTTATTATATATATATTAACTAACTAATTTTTTAAAAATAAAACTTTTAAATAAGATAATATTTTAAAATATTTTAAATAAAAATATAAAAAGCTAATTTTATAATTTTTATTATTTTAATATCAAAAAAGAATTAATTTATTTTATATTTAAAATTTTGATATTTTTCTATTATAATAGAAAATTATAAAAGTATTTTTCTAAATCTATATAAGATCTTTAATATTTTATTATTTTATACTAATTGTAAAAGAAATTTTTTTAATTTTTAAATAATTTATTAATAAATAATATAATTTGAAATCAAAAAACTTGAAAGATATAAAATTATTTATTTATAATTATAAATAAGATAAAATATAAAATAAATAATTTCAATTTATAAATATTTATAATTTTATTA